AACTTCGTACGATTTTCCATAAATCGTAGGATCTCTCGGACGTGAGATTTCCATTAGAACGGTTTCACGCGCCGGAATATCGGAATGTTCGGTTCTCTCTGGCTCACCCTGTATAAAGACGTACGTACACAGACGAGAGGGCGCGCACACTTGTACACGGTTGAACACGCACGTAGGCCATGCCGAGGGCATAGTTACACGGCTATTCCAGCGTGGAATGCCTGGCATGTCGCTCTCGTCAAATGGCCAGAAAATAAAAGGACTTAGCTCGGCCGCGGCCTTGATAGAAGGTTTCCACCGGGTTCCCTACGGTCAACCGCCACGATCTCGAGGGGTCAGCTTCCTCGAAGATGACAAGATATGAAATACACCGACTGCCTCTGTGTCCTACTCGAATATACCATTGTGGCTAGATATGGAACAAGAATCGATCGATTATATCCTTATAAAGATAAATAAATGCTTCGATTTCATTGGTTTCGTCGATGACAATCGTTTTTATTCTCCGACTTGATTAAACTGATACGTGTGTGAGAGGAAAAATGGATTTATTGTTATTTTCTCTGTTATAAGATTCGATTGGTAATCATCGATATTGATAAAATATTTCTTTATTTTTTTCCTACGTTCCTCAACTTTGAAACGTTCGTTCTATTCGATTAATTTTTAAGATCGTTATCTCTTATTGCTCTTAAAAAATTTGAACCACCTATGTTCCCCATTATTCCGCCAACTCTCCATGCAAACACATCCCACGCCTTTCCAACTTCCACCGAAGAATGAGCATCCGAAGGTATGCAAGAGACGATATTAGCGCACGATTCCTACTCTCAATCAAATTTTCCTCGACGCTAATTGGCCGAAGGAAGGCTCGATCGTTGGAGGATCGCCTTGCGACGCGATACCAAGGCGACCCTGGTCTTGATAGCGCTTCCGACGGATTCCGTAGGATTCCGATCGACGAGAAGCAAGGGTCAGCTTTCTCGTGACACGAGGGAGAATCTCCACTTGGAAAGTTGGAGTTGGAGAAAATCCACACGTCCCTCTTTCGCACCTGCATTCCCCTTATCCGGTATCGGCGCCTCGAGGTCTCTCGCGATCAGAAACGAACTCGAAGAGGAGAATCGATACGGAGATCTTCTTCGTAGAAGGGATCGTAGGAGGGGAAGGTCGGTGCACTGGACGGACAACAGTGGCTAGAACTGGTACGATAGAAATCGTTTGGTATACAGCTGGCTTCCTTGTTTGGATAACGAGAGAAGCGTTTGTGCACGCTTGAATGGGGCATCGCTCGAACTTGCGGAGTATCGTTTAGTTGCTCATTGTTCGGCTGGGTTCAGAGAACCGCGGAAAAAAAGAATTATCTGCCAATTATCTTCCTCTCGAATGAATCCGATCCGAACGATGATATTTGTTTGATATTTGTTTGCTTTTCGCGAGGGTTTGTTGAATGAACGAATGGAGAGAGAGAAGAGAGAGAGAGAGAGAGAGGGGCAAAAGAACGGGTGATCGGTAATATATCTATGGGATTTTATCGATTATTAGATATATGCTTTATGATCGAGGAAATATGGTATTTAATGGTTTGAACGAGGCTTGTATTTGAGCATGTTTTATGATCGATGGATATTTTATTTGGAGGGATTGTATTGTTGGATTTAATTTGTGTCGTATTCCAGTGTATCGTTCAAGTTGATTAAGATTTGGAATGATTAGAAAATGGAGAAAAAGGGAAACGATTGGTGCAGCTAAATTTTCTGTATATTATTTATGTATCAATAATATTTTTTATAATTGAAAAAAGAAACGTGAAATGATTCTTTATAAGTGGTAATCAATTGATCTGTAATTATATATTTATTGAATGATTTATTTATTGATGATAAAAATACGGATAAAATTTTCCTCGTCTTTCGATTTTATTAATTAAGATACCAACAAGAAATTTCATTTGTCTCCCCATTACGTGTCTCGTTCGAATCATTAGCAATTCAATTCAGGAAAGCGAGACTCGAGACAATGATCGCCATTTGTATCGCGTATTTGTTATCTGACAAACAACGGTTCGACCGGTGGAGAGCAGGGCTGGTTGCAAATAGCCACGACCACGGTATGCCGAGATCGATTATATCCGTCTAACTTCGAATTCCGCGAATTAACTGTGTTCAGGTGAACCACAGCGCGCGAAAACGTTCAAGCCAGATCAAAGAGGCCCGAGGAATGCTGTTAGGTCTACGTCCAGGTTCATTCGTTACGTGTAATTACCGATATCATTGAACCGAGCCAACAGTCCAAATGGTATCGGGGTTTGTTCGCCAGACTACGATATAAATTAGGTATTCAAACGTTCCGTGTACACACAATCGTTCCTGTTACATAACAATCGGGCTTGGATCACGATCTAATCACGTTTTCACTGCCTGCCCATTTTATGCTTTTCAACGGTATCTAAACTGTAATTAAACTCGAGAGAGAGAGAGAGAAAGAGAGAGAGACTTGGCCATATTTTTGTCGAGGCGAAGGATTCCAAGCATGCATTTTTCGTAATATTTTTTAGTATTTAGCATGTGCGTGTGTGTGTCTAAGAGGACAGTATTGGTGGAGAGAGTATCGTATGGATCGGGTTAAAGAGAAATGTTGCATGGAATGCTTGTAATAAATAACAATTCTTTGCGAATAAATATTTCATTCACTTTTTTCCTTTTGGAATTTTATGAATTATATTTTAATTTATCGACAATAAAATATCGAATATCGTAAGTTTAAATCATAAAGGAATGGTATAGGAATAAGGTGGTAATATAATAATATAATAATTTGGGTAATGGAATTTGTTTACCACCAGATATAGATATAATATATTCTTGTTTATTATAAAACGAAGAAGCAGCGTGATAATCGAAAGATGTAATCGTAAACGCAATCGAATGCGAGGTAATAATATTTATCTTACTAAACACGTATGTGAAAGTGATTACTTTCTTAATCCATGTGACATAGGAAAGAAGTGTCACGTATCGCATTTCCTATTTGTCTTTCGTGATTTATGTAGAGAGCGTGATTAATTAGAAATATATTAAATATCTAGCTTTTAATTTTACGTGTTTATCGGACACGCGTGTATTACACATATTTTAGATTATGCAAAGAGTTTGAACTTCAAGTTTTCGCAATATTATTTCACTTTTCAATTTGATTAAATTCTTGTTGTATTATCCTTTTTAAAAAAACAATATCTGTGTGTGTATTTACGAATACATACACGTATACAGATGCAAGTTTCCATACGATTTTTCCAGAGAGATTCACGCCAATAAAAACGAGAAAATATTAGCGAAAGAAAAATTATGCAGATATCTCGAATAGACACGCATATGCAGGTATCGTCGTTGAAATCACCAAGTCGTATGCCTTCGTAATGCTGTCGAAATACGCGTTGCACACGCGAATTACTATAAATTTCTCTTCCACTCGCTTCCTTCCTTTTAATCGTCACTTCTTATTTCTGGAATTGAACGCACAGTGCAAAAACGGAAGGCGTGCGTGGCCTCGACCCGCAAGATCGTTTCTCTTAAAGGAGCGTTTTTTAAAACTAAGGGGTGTTAAGAGGAGATAAAATCGCGAGTATGAGTTTTCGCTGGGCTCATATCTTCGTTCTTCGAGCTATTTCGTGGAAAACATTCTTACTCTTGGTGTAACGATGTAACAAAACGAGACGTGTTGTATAATTATGGAACGTTATAGATGCAATTCCACAATGGAATTTCTGGTGGAAACTAGAAGGAAGATTTTAGGCTCTCTTGATTGATTGTAATTATTTATAATTGATCGCATATTTATTTTGTTTATAATTTTATACCGTGCAGTTTTAGGTTAATGCGTACTAATTTACAAGAATTTATGCGACTGATTTCTACTTTTTTTTTCTTTCTTTTCATTAAAAATCAACATCGCTTTTTTCCTATTTCACGCTTCCTTAAGTTCAGCCAACTTTCTTATTCATTTTACTTCAATTTTGATTCAACTTATGCCTGCAAATCGAATCGTTACAAATTATTAAACATTTTTTAAAATATATTTGAAACGAAATTTTTCATATCCCCCGCAACTTTGGCATCAAACATTTGCCTATCGATTTTAGAAAACGATTCATCGAATATTTTAATATTCCAACTAATAAAAATTCGGGTATCGAGATGATTTCGTATTTTCACTTGGCCAAGGTATCCCCAATAGAAAATATTTTTTTAACTGGCGACTAAAACGGGCCATTCGGTTCGACGAGCGTCTGCCTTGTTTTAAAGTACCATTAAGAAATCCTCGTAAAATTTGCGATGCCGTTCGTAAGCTATCAAGGTAACGTTATTCCAAAGTCGTGAACAGTTTTTTTTTTATTGCAAACCAATTTTTTTAAACAGTGAATCATTAATTAATGAGCTATCCTTTATTGGGCGTAATGTTGTAACACGTCCCGACACAATACGTATTATTATTAGTTTCAATAACGGTAGACGATGAACGTGAATGGTTGTGGTAAGCGATATTAATGATAGATCGTGTGTGATTTAATTTCCTTGTCGTTTAATGAGCTCCTAATTTTCACATTGTAACGTGGAAACGGATATATTGTTTGCAGCAAGAATTTATAAGAAAAAAAATTCTACACGCATAATGCAATAACGTGCAGAAACAGTGGAGTATCATGAATTATGTTAATGCGACCTTGATTTTAATATTACAACAGTTTCGACTTAATTTTCAAAGCGATATAAATTAATCGAGTTATAAAATTTCAAAATTGAAGTCACTTTTCACATTAACAGATATATTTCTTCAATCAATCATATTCTCTTCAATCATTTATCTTGAAAATTTCCAAAATTACAATGCATTCCCACATAAACGAAAATTTACGAAGAGGAATCACGTAGTCGTAGAAAATCGGTAGACAAATGCAATTCGAAAATTAAACAATTAAAATCTTTTAAACATCAACGAGAATTCTTTCCACTCATCCATATCGATCGAGAGCGCAAATTGCGTCGGTTGCATATTCCAGGCGAAAAGTGTCGCACGCTGATGCGCGCAATCGGCGATCGACGATTCCCCTGACAAGTCAAAGCCGATCGTGAAAGGTGCTATGTACGCGGGACGTTAATTGCTGACAGCGTGTATCCCCGAGTTTTAATAAAGTGACGGTCGTTAAGATCGCAACGGCCAGTTAACTTCTTGCCCTCGTCAACCGGTCTCGTTACGCCAAGTGGCTTAGTGAATTCTGGAATACCATACGGTTGGAAACGAGATCGGCTAATCCACTCGCACACAGACACCGTTCAACCTACCTACTTTTTCTCCACGGAATCTCAGCGGCTGTATAGTTCCGCGGTGAAATATGTCAATAGCCTAGGCGCTGCAACGTGAGTTCGACTTTATTATTCTTTTGCCACCTGAATACACGATCCAATCCAACGGCGTGGAAATAAGTTTTCCTTGGGCGTCGAGAGAGGTCAATGTTTCTCGTTGCATTTTTCTCGATCGAAGTAAATTCTTGATGTGAAATTGTGAATTTCGTTGATGGTGAAGTGTTAATGTGAGGGTTTTTCTTGTTTTTTTTTTTTTTTTTTTGTTGATCGAAGATGAACGAATCTATGACATTTTTATAAAATCTTAGAAATAAATCTTAGAAGAACACGAATATATTTCGATTAAAATGTGGATGCTCGTTTAGAGTCGAACGCTTAATTATTTCATGGACGGATTTCTGAGATTTGCGAATTCGTGATTAGTTAATTCAGGAATTCTTTTTTTTTCTTTTTATTTTTAAAGAATGATTTTTTTGGGCAGAATGATTTAAGAGCTTTAGGAACGTGGAACGGTTCGAAAATGCGGAATAATCATCGTTTACGGTTGACGAACCAGGGTATTTTTATACGTATAATATTTCACGTCTTTCAGTCGAATGCTTTTATAACGTTTAACGTCACTGCTCGTTGTCCCTGTTGCACATTTGAGACGTTTCTTTCCATGTATTTAAAACCGTTGGAGTTTAATTGCGTCAAATAAATTACCGCCAGTTTATGAGCCGCTTTCAAGTTACAGTTAATCTGACATAGTTCCGGAAGTCGAAATCGAACGATTTTACGTAATTCATTTCTATGTCTTTATTTTGTTTCATTGCGCTCGATAAAAATGTGCAAACACACTGCAATTATAATCGTATTCACGATTGAATTATTATTGGCGATTGTTCAATCGACAAACAGTGTTCTATATTTTTAAATTGTGCATTATTAAATTTGTTGCAAACGATTATCGATTATTAATCATTTGACTTGGGAAAATTTTTAACAAAACTATTTGACAATTGTTGAAATTAGATATAACGTTTACACAACATCGATCCTGTTAATTCAAGTCAATCAAATTTTTGAACATGTAAATTTAACAGTTGAATGCATCTAAGTGAAATTAAATCAAAGATTTTAAATAGAAACTTTAAGGAGTTTTTTAAAATCATTGTTTAAAGAGGGTGGATAAAATAACAAAGAGGATAAGATGTAGCAACATTCAATTATCTCAGTGGAATTTATTTTTCGAAATAAACATCAAACTTCGAACAAAATACAAAGGTCTAGCATCCTAATTAGCTGTATTATGCTAGACAGACGCCACTAACAAATCTCAACAAAGCGAGTGTAACATAGAAGCCGCGTAATCCTCTCACCTGTTCATGGTCAAATACCTTCGATTTGTGCTTCCTTCCCTTCGAATATGTGTTTCAGATATAAGTATTCGTGCCTTTCCATCATATCTATTAGAATACTTTCCCCTTTCAATCTAACCAATGCTTTTTTATTTTATTCATCGACCTTATCCCGTTTCTTTTTAACAAAGATTAATCACTTCTGATAGGCCGTTATTGTTAGAAAAGATGATTCGAAAAACAATAGGATAAAATCAATTTGTTGTGAGAAAAGTTTAAATTTGATTTTCTTGAAAATGAGTTTGTAATCGGTTTGTAAGATATTTTTTTCTTAACTTACGAATTAACAAATTTGCAAAAAGATGAAATTTACAACTGGAGATGAAAATTTCCACGCGGAAACCCATCATCTTTCATTCTTCATTCAAATTTATTTCGTGAAACGATTTTGAAAAATTCGCATGTATCGAAGAAGTAAAAGTGCATCGACTTTAACGAAAAATTCCTCTGCGCTTCGAGAAATTTTTGCATGGTTACGGAACGGTGGTCTTGGCCGTCTAGCAGCATCAACCACATTGTTGTTCGTCTATAGCAGAAGTGGTGCGCAAGAAGTTGGTTGGAACGTTCCTTCCGTAGTCGCTTTGTACACGAGCCAAGATTCAAGAATCCTTCGGTAAGGCAACAATACCTAGGAAGCGGACCGAGTTACGACGCGGTAGCCATACGGTGGAGAATGCTTTATGAGCGCTCGAAGAATGTCATGCACACGAGTCACGTTTCATCTTACATTTCGACCGTGCATGCATCTATTATCAAACCTTCGAATTTTCGTGATTTATTCGTCCTCGGTCGAAACGATTGTACCGTCCATTTTATCTCCAATGTTGAAAACATTTCGTTGTAAATTCATTTCTAAAGGAATAGATGAGGTATACGAAGGAATTGAGAACTATCGTTTAAAGTTACAATAGTTTGCAACAGGATTTCTTGTATGACATATAATGCAACAGAATAAATCTAGACACGTTTGACACGCCAATTTTTCGAAAAGGTTTTTCTTTTTAACAATAAAAAAAAAAAAAAAAGAAACGAAATAAGTTTAATTTCATTTGTACACTTGGAATTTCATTTTAGTAATAGGATCTTACGTTTCAATTTATAAGTTTCCAATGATATAAATAAATTGGAATCAAACAATTTTTGACACTCGCGTTAATTTTGTTAATGATAATATTCATGAAAACAGATTTTCAATGAAATCTTCGAAGCTTTCGATAATTATTATATAAGTTCAAGTTTTATAATTACAACGTTCATTTATCTTTATTCCAAATGTCTATCATGCTCGATGATTTATGGACGTATCATATTGTCCCGTTAGCCTCGAAAGGATTCGATATTAAATGCTTTTGTGAATTTCGAAACGATCGATCAAACTTAGAATTTGGAATCAATTTTGAATCTCTCTCTCTCTCT